CTAACCGCAAGTAATTTTCACGGATGGCAGCGCACGGTTATCCCGCGTAAAGGGTTATAGCTTTAGAGAAGCACGCCTTCTGTATATATCTCGTCATATCCGACGGCCGTTCACGGTTATCGCTACCGGAAAAACCGATGTTTATTTCTTCACTCGCGAAGAGCACGAAGAGTAATTTGATCGCGGTTGGGAACAAAAAGATTTAGATTTCCAACGGATGCTTAATTTTCTTGTTTTGACGGCATATATTAAAATTTTTCCTCTCCGCCATTTCATTCAATTTCCGCAGAATTTCATCCAAGTCAAATTATCGACCTTGCCGTATCGGACGCATCTTGTATGTGTACGTGCTGCCCTAATACGTGCTGTACGCACCAACGCTATACATCAAGAGGTTCAAACAAGACCAACGCGTCCGCCGCCGCACGAAGGCTAATAAGAGCTAAAGTACATTTAGCGAAGAACGGGGGAAGAGAGTAGGAACGGGGCAGAGCGGATTCTATGTAATTAGGAGGGCAGACCTGTCAAGGTTGAGGATCACTGTTAAGGTCTGCATCCATGGAGATGAAAGGGAACTGTGGCCGTGGCACGTCAAAGCATCCCTGTGGAGACCGTCTCTTGTTCCGCTCGTTTGTCGTCCTTTTCCTGCGAATCTTTAACTTTTCTTCGACATTATACGTCGATGGATATTGCGTCTCAATTTGAAATTTAATCAAAAGACAGCAGTTTGACGAATCGTGTGTATGGCCGAAATAAAATCGAGCGTTTTAGTCAACACTCAGTATAGTCACCAACTTAGAATAACAATAACAAAATGAATTTGCGCGATGTTCATGAACTAAGACGGTCGGGAAATAAAGGGTGGTTGGTCATTATTTTCCAGAACATCTGCAAAAAAACATGGACAAGAAGAGAAAATTGTTGAGAAACAAAAGTTTTCACGGATGGACGCAAAAAGTTTCTAATGTTGTGTTCTCGCGGTTTTTTGTTCGACTATACATATCGCGAGAATTGCAAGGAAGAGAGGATCTATTTGAACCTGACTTTAAAGATATCACGATCTTTACAAAAACGTTTAAGACTTTTGATATTTCGCGAAGAATATATTCGGGGAAATATTCTTCTCTCACACGCCCGGGGTTTCGCGAACTAATCAATATCCCGACTCAACTTCCGCAAATGCGCCGCTCCGTGAGAAATATCGAGTGAGGAAAATCGAGCGTGAGATTACACGCGTGACTTTACGAGCTACTTTATTAAGGATATATCATACCTTGGTGGAAAATCGATAAGGGGCTACCGGAAGTTAATGGTCTATCGACGGTGTGGGCTACGATCGTCGTTTAATATACCAATAATGAAGTTACACTCGGTAAAGCGAGTAGTGTGTAATATAAATAATTAACGAGGGATGATCGCGCGTTACCTGATGTCTATTAAAACAACCTTGCGTCTCCCGAGAGAGAGAAAGAAAAAAAGAGAGAAAGAGAATCTGTCTTATAACAAATTAATAGGTGATGATGAATTTTTCTCTTCACGTTCTCTCTCTCTCTCTATTTCTTTCTCTCCGGAAGAAGTTTTACGAGAAACGATCGAGCGCGTTTACATCGGTTGTCAACAAGTCATCGGTGTTCTCGGCACGCGATATGAACTTTATACCCCGTGCGAATATCGCATTAAGAGCCGCGAAAAACTTATCTTCCAACTACCCAAGAAGAAGTTTAAGAAGCGCGCGCGAAACGTTTTTTGACCTTAGTCGCGAGCTTTATTTTCTTTATTCACGGGCTTTATATATATATATCGCGCCCGCGCGAATGTATTAGCGCTACATATTTGCACTCTTTATAAAAGCGAAACGATCGCGAGCGGTATATAACCAACACCACCGGCGCCACCGGTGTATTTTTGCTTTAATGCTTTTCACCATTTAAAATGCGTTAAACTAATTGCGCCTCGCGCCGCTTTATCGTCGTTCACCTTGCGCAAATGGCTCTCATCGGGGCTCGTTTATCGCTCACTTTTGTCCGCGGGATCAACTTCAAACCAGAAGTGCAGATTCATTTTTGAAACGCGCACATATTTGCGCACACGTTGTACGATAGCAGAATGTCGATGATAGAAAAATAATTATCGTTCATCGGAGTTTAACGGAGAAATTATTCAATTCCATTTATCGCGGACTGCTATCTTTATCTTCAAATACGATAAAATAGTTGAAAGTTTTTTTTTTTTGGTATTGAAATAAGAGGCGTTACTGAACAAATTGCCAGGTAGAATGCAGATGTATTGTGTTTCAAAATTAGTTACAAACGTTTCGACTACAAAGTTTTAGTCTTCTTCAGTGTTCTGTGTAATAACAAAATTATAAAAATAAAATAAAATAAAATATCTACAACAAGTAATATACATAAAATTGTTTCAATGAGACGTACCATATTGCGATCACCATCATCACAAACCCGATATAAATTGTCAATTAATTAAAATAAAATTGTCATGTTGACGTTATCGTCAAGACTAAAATTGGTGGTGAGAGCAATCGAACAAGGCNTTTTATTAATACATTTTCGCTTTCTGTCGAAACCGAGTTTATTTAAATTACGTTATATATTTGCCGCTTAACGCACCGAAGTGTGTGACGTGCGCAAAAATAAGCTTGCAGCAGTTAATTTAATATTAACCTCTGTTCATTTCTCATCGATGCATTTTTGCTCTGCATATTTTTCATCTCGTTGGAAATCTGTAAACATGCATGTTATCAATGAAAAAGGTCAGCTGTAGAAAATTTATAGTTTATGAATTTCCGGCGCCGCGAACATAAAAACTGCCGAGTTTAATGGATAATAAAAATGCAGAATATGACAATTAGATGCGTGAGAGAGAATTGCGCGAATTTAGAGCTTTTTAATAACTGAGCGAAACTTCGTCGTCAGCAAGAGGCGGAGGAAGAGAAATTCTGTAAGAATATATTTCTTTATTTGAATTTATGTAATAAAAAAATTTATGACATTTATATATACATTGAATATATATATATTTAGAAACGATAACATTAATCTCTCTGCGTCTTGTTTTCCGAACAAACTTTTTCACGCGAACACTCACGATACGTCACGCTCGTTCCCAAAGGACGCGACATTCATTTTGTCGACGAAGAAACAAAAACGTTGCTCTCGTCAAGAAGTAGCTTGCTAGCGTATGACAGTGAGTACGTTACACCGACGTTACTTGTTGACGATAAATAAATGTTGCCGTTGCGCTAAAACTGAAAACCATATGATGCGCTTTAGATAAAATTAGTTTGCAACAAAGGTTGAAAAAAAAAAAGAAAAGAAAATTTCATAGATCGCTAATTACGGACTTTTAGCGACGTCACTCCGACTTCCACGGTGAATTTCGTTCGCTTGTTAGAAGCGTTCAATTTCAGAAATGCATTTTCGGATCTCCAACGGATTGTTTTATTTTGGCGCGCGCGCCTGTCGAGAGACTCGCTTCGTAGAAATTTTATCGACTAATTGATTTGTCGGTTTGTTCTGCCTCTCGTGAATTAAAAAAAAAAAAAAAATTCGTACACGACGAGTTTCTCGACGGCTTCAAATTTCATGATATCGGCGTCGCGATGACAGTGATTGTTGCACCTGGTCGGCGATAAATAGCGTCGCGCGTTGTGACACTTGCGCGCCGAAGATGTTATTAACAACAATCGATCTAATATTAATCTCGCCCACGTTGCCGCGCTCCACCGCGCGGTTCTCCGCCGGGGTAAAAGTGTCGTCTGGTCGCACGACCTCGCAAGGGACAGTGCTCTCCAACCGAGTGTCGATTGGCCCGTCAACGGCGGCGCCAACGGAAAGCATCGAGTATATACACAGTAAAAAAAAAATGTTAATTTTAACATTTTTTGCATGTCCCAGGAGGTCCACTCTAAATTGTAAGTTAAAACAACTTATTCGTTGTGAGTCACTTATTGACAAACTAGTAAAGT